GACTTACAGCTTCTTGCCTCTGCTGTCAACACATGAGCCTGCGAGGCAATTATTTGACTACATTATAATTATTTCATGTTAGGAGCTGCAAAAATGACTGCTCGGGCAAAGGAATATGGGAACTCCTGTCACTTAAACTAAGCAAGACTCAGCAAAGACAGGCTTGCTGTTTCAGCCGATTTGTCAAGAGTGCAGAAGCTTGATTATACTGTATTCATCTATTAAAACACAAGTGATCAATAGCTATGAAAGATTGCTCTTTGTCGTGACACCCTGACGCTTGTCATGTGTTTGCTCCGGCTCGCCCTTGAGGCCAGAGCGCCGGTTTATAGCTACAGTAAATCAGCAGCATATTTACAATGAGATCAGGGCGGAATTATACAGGCAGTTCAGGGTAATTAAGCTTAAGGGGGGATGCGAGAAGGATAAAGCCATTGTCCTCGCAAACGAGAGGCTTCTGACCTGTTTCCTTATAAGAACATACTTTGCTCTGTTTGTGTTATATAAATTATCCTGATATGAATTGCATTAGTAGTTTCCCTGGTTTCCCCGTCTTCTGCAGTTTGGACAAACAAATAGTCCCACCCACCCAATTAAAGCCTATGCGGAAGCTAATGTCACTAAGTCTATTATTTTAGTTTAGTTTAGTTTAGTTTAGTTTAGTTTAGTTTAGTTTAGTTTCTGCAAGTTATATGTGGTCAGATCAGATTTATTTTGTGTTGAGACCGCAGTCACTTTCATTCAAACCTGTGTGGTTCAGACTTTGTATAGAATAAATGTTTTGCCATTTATTTCTAATGGGTTTTTAAATATATGTTTTGAATGAGGGCAGTGAAATCAGAAAAAAAAAAATCAGTAAAAAAACTGATTTCTTCACTCAGACCAAGAGGCATTATCAAAAATCTGATTTTAATTAGATTTCAAACCACCTTTTTCTTCTGTAATATAATGTATTTGCCAAGTAAAACTTTATTCAAAGAAAAAAACTGTCAGGAATGGAGCCAGATCAAATGTACAGTAAGTTTGCTATAATGATGGCTAAATAGCTATTTGGCTATGGCTGATCATTATTCAGAAAAAGAAGAGCAAGTTATTACATTTTGAGTGAAGATTATGAATTTTTTTTTGTCTTTGGAATAACATGCACCAATGAATCGTTCACATTAAGACCTTAATGTGCATTAAGAAAGTAAACGGGGTCCATTTAGATTTTGTGTTGACTTTATAAAGACTTTAATATGATTCTGATGATATCCAATGAGATTCCATAAAGTGTGTTTTGAAACCTCGTGTCATGACTATAGCCGTTTAAAGCTTGGCTTGTTTTGTATTTCTTTTTTTTTTCTTTTCTCCATGATTATGTGATTATGATTTCACAGCATACCCACATCCAATTTAGACTGTCCCTGTGTTATCAGAGACACAAGTGGCATAATTACGAAGCTTGAACAAGTTTGAGTGTTTCTGTATGTGCCTATTTGTGTGTTGCCATGTGCGTTCATCACAGTGCTGCACCCTCAGAGATGATGGCATGATAAGTGTGTGTCAGTGGCGGTGTGTGTTGTAAAAAGTCACACTACAGCAGTGAGATGGGCCACCCTCCTGACAGACTGCCCACAGTGGAGGAATTATACATGACTAAAGCCGCAGCTCACAGTGAGTCTGGCTGACATTAAAGCAAAATGGCAATTGTGACACATAACAGTTTTGATGTATTTAAAGTGCTCATGCTCGAGCAAGTGTGAGCTAAGTACATAACATGCTGGAATTCACTATGAAGAATAATGTGCCATTTGAGGAATTAATCAGCGCAGAAAACTACCGGATCTCTTTTGCTGTCACATATGGCGTTCGTGGTTAGTAGCACAGACTGTTTTGTCTATGAGATCTTGTATTGTCAACTTTGCCAAGAGCAAAAATGGCATTTTTTCACAGCTCATAGTAATCTCATAATCCATAATAATAGCCTATGCTAAATGATAAATGCACAGGAAGCAAAAGTCTTGTTTTGCAGTTATTAAGCTGTTACAATGAGATTCCATTTTTTATGTAAGAGTTCATTACATTGAATCATTAATAGATATGCCAAAGTTTAAAATGGGTAATTTGAATGAAAATCATTTTTATTTTTGTCTTCTTGTCTGGTAAAAACAGTTAAATATTCTAAAAATTATTTTGGGGTCAGTAACATTTTTGAAAGAAGTCTTTTGTACTTCAAGGCTGCATTTAAGTTGATCAAAACTACAGCTAAAACAGTAGTATTGTGAAATATTTTTTGTATTGTAAAAAAAAAATATATTGTAAAAAAAATATTTTTTATATATATTTTGTATATGTACATTTATTCCTGTGATGGCAAAGCTGATTTTTTTTAGTGTCACATGATCCTCAGAAATCATTGTAATATGCTGATTTGATGCTCAACAAACAATATTATCAATATTTTAGTTGATACATTTTTCAGTATTCTTTGATGAATAGAAAATTCAGAAGAACAGCAATTATTTGAATAGAAATATTTTGTAATATTTAGATGTATTTTGTAATATTTATGTTTAATGCATCCTTCCTAAATAAAAGTATTCTTTCATAATAATAATAGTAATAATAATAATAATAAATCTTATGGCATTGGCACACTGTAAACTGTTTAAGAATAAACCATAAACTGTAGTACACACATAGTGCCTTTTTTAACAAATATGCTAAATGGTATACTGTAAGTAGACGGGTTAAGGATCCCCTTTGTTGAAAACTGTGTTAAAGGGGTCATATGATGCAATTTCAGGTTTTCCTTTCTATTTGGAGTGTTACAAGCTGTTCGTGAATAGGTAAGATCCCTAAAGTTGTAAAGACTAAAGTCTCAAACCCAAAGAGATATTATTTATAAAAGTTAAGACTGGTCCACGCCCTCCTAAAACGCCTCGTTCAAACACGCCCCCACATGTCTACGTCACTGTGTGGGAAGATTTGCATAATGCCGCCCAAATGTTCACGCAAAGAAAGAAGACGTAACTTTATTGTTGCTGCCACCACCGCCGCCATGTCGTGAATACGCTGTGTGTTTCGTTGCGAAAGCGAAACTACTTTGTTTGGCCTTCCAAAAGAGGACACGACTAGAAATCAGTGGTTAAGTTGTATTTACAACTTGTAGGTCTGTTTGCTCATTTCCTGAGCCTGATTCTGCCCAGGGGATGGCTCTGTTTAACTTGGACAGATCTTTTGCTTGAGGATTTTCCTAGATTTCTGTGTGAGCATCTCAATCTCGTCTGTGCAAACTTTCAGCTCACTGCCAGAATCAATACCTTTCTCTTTGGCAATGGACAGCATACCTCTCACCATCAACTTTAATTGCATATTTAACAGAAAAATACTGCATGGATGCAGCCACTCAAATATTTAGCCTTTTACCATGTCTAATATAGAGGCATATTTGTTCGGGTCAAGCACACTCTGTAACAACCTTGAATTTTTTCTTGGCATTAAGACAAGCCTTAGAGGTTCATCTTGGTCTAGTAGATGTTAAGCCAATGCTTTAATTAAGCTCAGCCATCTGCCTCGAAACTTTTGACTGTATATACACAACTGCTTTGAGCCACGCACACTTTTCATGAGCCACTTTAATGACCTCACAAAGCCTTAGACATCAAAATGATTGGACCATGTAATTAATAACAGTGGCCACTTTATGTCTACTCCTGTTTCGGTGTCAAGAGGTTGTGATGTACTTTTTTTTCTAGATCTTGCTAACATATCAAGCTGATCTTAGCATTTTCAAAGGAAACTTCAACATCACTTACTGAGCTAATGATTACATATGGCATTTAGTACAGATGAGACTGGAGAGTGCTGTAACACTTCCAGTTTAATTCAATTAGAAATTGGCTGTAGGCAGAGGTGACAGTAAAAGTTGCATTCTATCTATCTATCTATCTATCTATCTATCTATCTATCTATCTATCTATCTATCTATCTATCTATCTATCTATCATCTGTCTGTTTGTCTTTCTGTCTGTCATTTCTCTGACTGTCTGTATTATGAAAAATGTAAAACTAATACATTTGTCTGTTAAATTAGCAGTTTTGCAATCACTTTGAATTAAATATTTAGAAATTAAATGGGATCAATGGTGGTGATTAGGAATGGCTTAGTTTTTTTCCTTTAAAAAGTAAATTTATTATTACAATTAATTATTTTGGGTTACCACCCACGCTTGCACTTGACACTACTTAACATATTCTTAATTAATTTGTTGCAGATAAATATGGTAATTTTATATTAAAAATAATAATAACAACAAAAGGGCAAAATGTTACAACACTCCCTAGTCTCTCCTATTTAACAATAAGTGATGAAGACCCCCGGCATAAAGCCCGCTGGGCTCTGTTTGTCAAGTACTGCCATCTTGTACCAGTTGATGGAAAATTTTATGCCTCTTGTCTCTTTTGTAATTATAAAGTTTTATTAGGTGTTTGTGGAAGATTAAAACACTATTAGCGCTGCTTCAGCCGTCAGATTCTCCAGGTGTTCCTTTTGTTTATGACCAAAATGTTTTATGACACCCACATTTAGTCACCTACACAATTATGGTTAATGAAATGCAGTGCTGGTACAGTGGGCAGGAGAAACATTGGTGAAGGGTACTATGTTTTTGTATCGTGTTTGTGTGAAGAGAGAGAACCAAAGATGGGACACAATGGGAGGAACAGTGTGTAGTTTAAGGTACATATGGAGACAGATAGAGTTTACAACATATATTTACAGGCTCTAATACTGTTTGGATACTTAAATGCCTCTGTTATAGATGTCAAATTTCATAAACCTTCGACTTGTCCACTATTAAACCTTTGATGAGCAATCATTTAGTTCAGCAGAAACCCTGCAGCTGTCATTGCTTTTTATAATAAATGATTCACATGATTTGAAGGGACAGTTCAACTTACTCCCTTCCAAACTATTCAGTTTCTAATTGGCTAAATGTTTATTTCTTTCTCTCTAGGTGGTGGAAACAAATCTTGTGGCTTTTGACTGTCACTGGATCATCATAAATGAGGTGGGTTCTTTAGCTATTTTGTGAGAAATCTAGTTTATTCTTTCTGTCAGCACATTTGAATATATTTGCATCTTTATATCTTTATTGTGTTAGTGAGAGGCGGACAAGGGCTCATTTGGAGCCTGATGAAGGTGGCCAGATAAGGACAAATTATAGCTCAATGATTTAAATTAGATTTGGCAAGCATGGGAGTAGAGCTCTAAAATATTTCAGCGCTTTCCTTAACGAATAAAACATTTTTCCAAAATGATCCTGCGACAAGAAGACAATGAAGATACAGACCTTGAGCCCATCTGCCTGAATTATAGCTATTTCAATAACTTAAAAGTCACTCTCTATGGTAACCTCTATTAATCTCTCTGGTTTTATTTAAAATGGTCATATAAATCAGTTTGGAGTTCAGTGCACTATTAAATTGTAGCTACTGTGACAAATTCACTCCCCAGTCCAAAAAGACCATGTATTGAAATTCAATGCAAAAACTTTACAACATTTTGATATCGGCTAGATTCGATGTTCAGAAATTAGGCTTACCCAGTCATGTTTAGGGATGTGCATAGATTCTGTTATTTCTATGGCTAGAAGAACTGACTTGGTGTAAAATTTGGGAACGTTCATCAAACATTTGCTGTTCCAGTCTGTGTGCGACACCAGCTGCTCTGCACATATTTACAAAGTTAGGAAAAAGTGGCTAAAATAAATTTTAGGGCTGTCACGATTCCTGATTCAATCTGAGTACTCGATTTAAAAAAAAATTGGATTTTGGACATGCCGAGTAACTGCCAAAATACCGGAAGTGGCGCTTTCCACGGATGAGAATCCATGAAACGCAAGATTAAACCATTTTCCAAGAATGCATGATATATGGGACCCATTTAAAAAACATAATAAAGAATAATGCTATTGTGAATTCACAAACGCTACGATTCAGTTAAATAAATATATGCGATGCAGGTTTAATATATGCGCTTTAATTATTTACATACGTGTAGGCTGTGTACATTTGTGTCAGAGCGGCTCCATTCACAGTAAATAAATGCTGCTCCACACAAACTGTTATCATTTACATGTGTGGAGCGTCTCAAACTCCATCTCTGCATATTGTTGTGAGTTTGGGCTTATTATAACGTTCATCTGGGAACACAACGTTTGCCATTTCATCAGATTTGTAAGGTAAATCATTTATAAACCTATGCAAACACAGGATAATACATCAATATCTTTCTCAATATGCTAACTGTTCATCTCAATTTCAAAACAAACGTTTAAACCCTCGCTCTGAGTTTACCAGTAGCCCCTCACTGCAGAACACAAGATCCAGGGGCCGTGGTTGGATCCACATCTAGGGGGTGGAGATTGGTAAGTTAAGGGGTGGAGATGAGTAGATTTAGGGGTGGAAATGGGTGGGTTTAGGGATCAGGGGGTGGAGACGGGTAGGTTTAGGTATATGTAAGGTGGGAGGAGTTGGATCTGGATCTTAGAGACAGATAGACGCGACGAATACGTACAAAAACACTGCGACTCACAAGACAAAAAACACGAAACCACCTTTCTATCGGGAGAGAGAGAAGCCGCAGCGTGTGAACGCGCCGCCATTTTGGACACTTCCCTTGTGGACACACATCTTGTGTTCTGCAGTGAGGACCATCTCGAGTTTACACGTTTTGATATCCACATATTCAAGAAATTACAGTGGTTGTAGCATTTCTGTCTTTAAGAAATGGCCAAATATTTAAGATTAAGTGGGAATTTGAATGAAATCAGGGGTCTCCAACACGTCGCTCGCTAGCTACCAGTAGCTCGTGGCCTGACTGGAAGTAGCTTGCCAAGACATACTTGACATATCGGCCATGAGGTTATTTTAATTATCCTGTTTCATATTTTAATTGTCAATATTTTAAATAATTTAGACCCATATTTGATTATCGTGATTTGAATCACAGTAAATACTGCACAACTTTAATCAAAGTTTAGAGTCTCACGCAGGCGCAACACGCAAAGAAAAGTTTTGTTTTGTGTGAAAACATGACTGAAGGCAGACTGCTGAGGGAAATTATACACTCTAAAAAATGCTGGGTTAAATATAACCCAGCGCTGGGTTAAAAAGGGACAAACCCAGCTATTGGGTTGTTTTGACCCAGCGGTTGGGATGTTTTGAACCCAACCGCTGGGTCAAAACAACCCAATAGCTGGGTTTGTCCCTTTTTAACCCAGCACTGGGTTATATTTTAACCCTAATTTTTAGAGTGTATGAAAGAATGTACTGTATGATTGAAATATTTGTATGAATGTATAATAGGAAACCAACTCTCTTCAGAAAGGTTTTGATGGCATTTGTTTTCCATCTTCCCTCCATGTAATGCGTAATAAAGCAGTGTTTAGAAGCCCAGCGCAGCTTTGTTTACAGAGGTTACCATGGAAACAGCTCTGTTCTGCAGTTCATAAGCACCATATGCCATCAAACTGTGGATTTACAAATTAATTTAGTCTGCATGCCATATTTTTGTTCAGACCAATGCGAGAATCGGACCAAATTTTTTTTGTAAATCTTAACCGGTCGATGGAAAATAGGCTACCTCAATTGTTATCAGAAGTGTTGAGATTTTTAGAATGCACATTAGCTTATGTAGAACTGTGTATGGAGCAGATAAAGTTTAATTTATCATTCTGAAAAAAAATAAACAAAGATTTTAAGGCTAAAATGTTATAATTGTATTTTTAAAAAATGGTCAAAACTTTATTTGAACATGTAGTACGTCAGTAGATAACGTTATGAATATTTTTTGTTAGTTTAAAATGTTAATGTTTTTATTTCACTGTTTATGCAAACAAAAAGTGCATAGTGCTGCTAATTTTTTTGGGCTTCTGTCATAAAACTTGGTTAAATGATTACAGTGTGTGTATCAGTACTTTTTTTATATATATTTCCAGCACATTTTAACAATGCTGTGTATAACAGTTTGGATTGATACATTATTTAAGAGATTTAAGTATTGTGTAATATAGTAGCTCCCGAATGAAATAAGGCTGGAGACCCCTGAATTAAATGTTGTTTAGTCAATATTAAACAAGGATTAGATTGCGCAGTAAAGTGTAAAACAATCATCGGGCTGTTGGCACCCTCTGCAGGCATTTGTTGTAATACAACAATTATAATACATTAGCTTGTTTAAAATACATTATGTATAAAACCATATGATTTCTTTTAAACTAATTATTATTGCCTCATTGCTATTATATATGTGTTATAAGTAATTTTAAAAGATGTTGTTTTGTAAGGTCTATTTTTATTACTACAAAAAACATTAGAATTACTCGATTAATCGTCAGAATAATCGACTGATTACTCGATTACCAAAATAATCCTTACTAATTAATTTATTTTAATTTGAATAGTTTTAATCATTTTAAATTTTATTATAATCTCCTCAATACTAAGCAGCTTTCATTGAAAAATGGAGCACTGGCAACAGCCCACTCAGCAGAGGCTGTATCTCATTTCACATGCAACAGGGCATTGACAGCTGCTATTTAAAGGCATAACAGCAAAATAAATAAATAAATAATTCAAAGGGTCATAGAGATAGTTATAAAAAAATTTATTATGACCATTTCTGGAACAAAATAAGTTGTCTAACATTATAAGAGGACTGTGGCAAAAAGAAACAAAAACAAAAAAATAAAAAAGTATGATTTATAAAAGATCATTCTAGTATTCAAAATTGTGCAACTCACATTATCTGATCGTATACATTTTTTGAGATAACCTTTTAATGCTGCCAGCTTTCTAGAACACACCAGTTTAGGCAGGTAGAGCATTTAGTGCATCTGAGGAAAATTTTATGTCCTCGTATATTAAACACAAAGGCACATGACTTTACCTTGACATGTCTCTGTATAGACACGCATTGCTCATGATTGGCCTTACTTGACAGCACTCATAGGGGACAAAACAAGCAGCTGCCAAAACCTGAACCCTAAAATTGGGCCATAACCCTGTAGGCTCATATTTGTGTCATTCTAATTTAGCGCTCCTAATTAAGCATCAAGGGCCTTTGCGTTTGTCATCCGGGGGTAGAATAAGCCACTCAGTGTTGGTATTTTCAGGTCTGTAAAAGCGTGATGTCCTCTCTGCTCTTGAAAGTTGTGCAGCACACTATAAAGGCCTCGCGTGCCCTCTCGTGATGCCTCCTAGATTATCCTCCGTCATGCTTACCACGTTAATTAACAGCGGCACAAACATCGTTTGACAGTGTTCAGCTGTGCGTCAGGCAAGATTTTGATTTGTCCGATCAGAAACCTTAAAATTACCTTTCAGAGAGCAGGTTGCACTGTAGACAACTTTAATTTTAATCTTATTGAAGGCTGAATGGCTTCGACATTCTAAGTAAGTTCCTCGCCGGCGTGCCACAAGTTCAGATTTAATGACGTACTTCATGAGAGCCAGTCACCAGCAATCACAGCTTTGCAGGTGAAAATGAAACTCAAAAGTGAAGGCTGTCAGAGGGAACAGCTTGGCTGCTCTGAAGTCTACCTTCACTGGGGGACGTTCCCTGTCCATTCTCATCACATCATTCCCAGCTCATTCACTTCATTCTGCCCGTCTGTGGAAAAGATTGCTTTGGGCTAAAATTAGCCATCATTCCTCCCAAGGCTGCACAAGGACACGCGAGCGTATGCGGTCATGTCTTTCTGCCTCTTGGCAGCGCTCTGAATACCCATTCATGAGAATAATTATAATACTAATGATGATTTTTATGTAGTTATGTTTCTTGTATTTAAATTGGGCCCATTTTTAGCTAACTGGAGAGTGGAGAATTTGACCTTGACTTGATGAAAAAGGAAAACTTAACCATGTGTGAAGATTGTTTAGTTTGTGTCAGTACTGGTGTCAGGACTCAGTGTTTATAATGAAGGAGCAGTATTTGTTTAACTGGAACTAATTTTCTTTCTTTCTTTCTTTCTTTCTTTCTTTCTTTCTTTCTTTCTTTAACCTGGGTGAGCTTTTTTCACCAGATAAAAACAGTGTTGTCCATTTCACGTCATTTCAATCATTTTATTAAAATTAATTTTTAATTTGAGCAAACACTGTTCTAAAAGTATTTTATATATTAAACTAGTATATTTTTATGTAGCATATTTTATTTTTTTTTTTCATTTTATTTTTGATTGTACTATATAATCTGTGTTAAATCCATTACTAGATTTGCAAATGTTTTACAAAAAAAACAATAATAATAATTGCTTCATTACATTCATGTTTTTAATATCTAGGGCATTTTTCATACATTTGGTGGCATTTTTGCCCTGCATTATTCCGTGGCCCTGGTCAGTACTGTTCTTTTTTTTATACTTTGAGATATAATATTTAATAAAGTTAATCAATTACTGTATTTTCTTATTAGTAAGCATATAATTAATTGTTAATGTAATTAAGTTTTTCTCTTGTTAGCTAGCCTTTAATCTTTTTGTTGTATCGTCCATGCTAAATAAATATTTTGCAGTTAAAATTCTCCCAGTATAGAATCTTAATGACTACAATTATGATATTTCTTAGTTATCTACAGTTACAGTAAGTCAGAAGAAAAGAAAGGTTTATAGAGCTGGTAGTAATGTTTCTGTTGCTATATGATTCATGTAGACATATTTGGAAGATGATAAAACAAGTAATGGAACCTAAAAAGTTAACATTTTGTTTCTTATTTAATCTCTACCCCTTTTTCTTTCTCTCAGTCCGAATTTGAGACAAGGTTATAGTTGGTTATTTGCTAAATTGAAAATCATGATTGTGTTATTTTTTCCTGGACCTACTTCTGCTCTTTCTTTTCCAGTCAAGTGTGGAAAAAAGCTCTTCTCGGCAAGATGCTTTTTCTTTTATCACTGCACATGGAAAATCCCTTTTCTTCTGACTCTGATTCTCTCTTTCTCTGTGTTTTTCCTCTCATGTGCTGCAGGAGATTTCAGACATGGATGTGCAGGAGCTGGTGATGAAGTCTATAGGTCGCCTGACCCTGGTGAGACAGGCCTTCCTTCTCCCGCAGAACACCAGCCAGCGCTGCGTCCAGAACAACCACCGCATCAACACGTCCCTCTGCGACCCCAAAGACCCAAAGGCACAGAAGTTAGAGGTGTGATTCATTCCCCCATACTCATAACTCATGCATTCAAGTTAATCATGAATCATTTGCCTTCATTTCCTTTATTGATTGTGTCCATTAACTGTCATCATTAGCCTTTGAGCTAACTTCCTTAGAAAACTAGAAAATGTCAATGTGAAAATTAGCAATCTTGTTTTGCTGGGTTTTCAGTTGTGCCTGTGGGTGCCATTCCTGTTTTCTACTATTTATCCAACTAAATGTATTTTCCCACATGTAAATTTACACAATAGACAACATAAATTAACAGATGTGTTGTGTATTGAGCCACATTCATTGGCTCAATACACAACACTGCATGGTATGTCAATACACATTTTTTCAAAAGCCCTACTCTATATGAATTCATAGTTGCGTGGGTATATGTTGGTAGCGACAAGGCAAATATATATTTTCAGCAGGGCCAAGAGATATTTTTGATATTCACAAAACAGGACGATGATTTTAATACCTTTATTATTTGGTCATGAAGTTACCAAAATAATGTGTCATTACATTAGTTTCACAATTCCTTCTTGTCTTTAGCAAATGTGTTCAACAGAGATATTTTAATAATCTCTATGATTTAAAGTTCAGTAGCAAAAATGGCATTAAAGTTGAAAAGTTTGCGTTATCAATTTACAGAGGTCTCTGCATGGTTTTAATAAAAAACATACAGTATGTAGTATGTAAATACTGGTGTTTATTGCCTTATATGTTGGTATCCATAAATTAAAATGATTAAATAGTCTGAATAATATATGTAGTAAAAACACTTTCATGTATAACACATATGTAGTAAAAACATGCCTTGAAGATTTTTTGTTTTTTTGATTGTTTTTTTTTTTACAATATTTATACTGGCTGTTTGGTTGAAATTGTGTTTAAAAATGTTTTTAAAACCTTTTTTATAGAAAAACATATAATCAGAATCAGAATCAGAATGAGCTTTATTACCAGGTATGTTTACACATACGAGGAATTTGTTTTCGTGACAGAAGCTTCCACAGTGTAACAGAATGACAGTGACATTCGCTCAGCAGTCCGGACTACCCTCTGTAGTCTTCTGAGGTCAGATTTGGTAGCTGAGCTGAACCAGACAGTTACAGAAGTGCAGAGGACAGATTCAATGATGGCGGAGTAGAACTGTTTCAGCAGCTCCTGTGGCAGCTGGAGCAAAATAACTATTGCTATTTCTTAGAATATTAATCAACAAATGAGGCTAGATCTTAAAATTCACTTTTAAGTGAGTAATTGTTGTTATTTTGAACTTTGTTTGTATCCACATACTTTTTGGGGCCACTATATGTATTGAATTTCATCAAAAGCTAGAAAAATATTGAGTTGTAATTCAGCCATTATTTTCAGTATGTGAGATATGAGGGGACATGTGCTCTTCTCCATGTAATGTTGAATGCATACTGTATAAGCAGCTCATGTTTGATGTTAAGGATTCAGTTTTGCTCAGTATTCAGGAGTCCAACCCTATTTTACCCTGCACTGAAGCATATCACATCCCTCTTTCTCGACATATATCCCACCCTCCCTTTGGAATACTCCTTTGCACCTCCCGTTCCCTTTAGACCACCGATCACTCATTTTCTCTGGAGAGACCCACTAACTCCTGCACTTCAAATAGACTTAATGGATTTCCCTGGTCAGCCGATCTTCTCCCCCCTGAATTTAACCCCGTCTTTGTCTGTTTACCCCCTTGGCAGTGGCAGCTTTGTTGCTTCGGTGGTCTCGACTCCTCCTGCAAATGCTATATCATGAAATAGCCTTCCCGAAAAACAGCCCACCCCAAAAATGCACTTTGTGTCCAAGGCATGAAACATAAATCAATAAGTAAGCCCTTTATGTTTTTGCTCTTGAAGATGAAAAATACAGCGAATGGAGAAAAGCCACACAGCTCGACGCTGTTGCTTGGTAGTCTTGTGGATCCTTGTCAAGTCTGCCTCTTTGGGTCATTGCTCTTTTTGTACGCCCATTCTCTCAGTATACGAAGAGTTGTTTTATGGGAGTCAGGAAGAGTAAACACAAGCTGCACCGGTGTTTCTGCTCTGTGTTGGGATGGCGAAGCCCATTCCCTTGAAAACTGGAGGATAAAATGCGAGAAACATAAGACGAGAGCGTCATCCCTGTCGACTCCATCTTCTTATTCTCCAGTCTGCTTTGAAGTCGAAGTACATATATACTGCGTAATTGGCAGTTAGTTTGTCGGCTCTCAAAGCCATTACAGCCTCATACCTGAGCCAACCGAGTGTGACTCCTAACATAATTAGAATAGCCTTTCCTTTGTGCTTCTCTGTTTACTGGTGAAGATTTTTGTCAAGGCTATGGCTGTATGCGAATAGATTACCTGAACGGATTGCGTTGATAGCGAGAGGTTTTTCTCAGCTATTTGTCAACATGGTTGGGATTACTCAGACACTCGATACAGTGTCAAGTATGCGGGAGCAGCGCGTGTTAATAAACAATGCTGGAAACCTAATGACCGCTTCACTCTATTTATTACCTTCTCATTAAAATGGAGACAACACTCGGGCTAGATCAGAGCCATGCAATCAATCAGAGCGGAATTAACTTTCTCCTTTGTGCTGACATCACACGATGTGTTAGAGCTTGTGTATGAGTGAAGTTGCCAGTTGTCTTTTATAATGCAGAACCGTATCTAAGGTAACAGTGTTGTGTGCTATTTGAATGCTTTTGGCCTTTCATTTCTTCAAGTTTTTTTTTTTTTCACTACCAATCAAAAGTTTCAGGTTGCTTTTTGAAAAAATTTTTTTTTTTTTTAAACTGAAACTGTTTTGTAAATTAATATATATTAAAAGGTCATTTATTCCTGTGATGACAAAGCTGAATTTTTAGCAGTTATTGCTCCAGTCTTCAGTGTCGCATGATCTTTCAGAAATCATTCTAATATGCTGATTTAGTGCTCAATACATTTTTCTTATTATTAATGTTGAAAAAAAGTATGTGGAAACAATGATAATTTTTTTTCCATGATTCTTTGAATAGAAAGTTCAACAGAACAACATTTATTTGAAATAGATTTTTTCTAACACTATAAGGGCCAGATTACTAAACAGGGCAAATTAACGCTAGAGCGCAATTCCATAAAAGTGCTGATGGGAGGGGAAAATTCTCCAGGTGATTTACTAACAATGCGCACATTAAAGTACACAGATGCAGCCAGATCATTTCCATAATGACCAGCACAATCTACCAAGAGCAGCGCAAATCACCACCTGCTTTAAGACATGCTTTTTTTGGGCGTAAAATATTGGCGCAAATGCCAGTAATTTGACGAGTGCAAACAGTAGTAGACCACGTTGCGTGATTCATTTTAATACTCTCCTTACATAAATTTTGCATCTGAAAGGGAAACTCCTACAAATGCATATTCAGTAAGGTCAGGTGCAAAAAATAACTGTGTCCATGCCTTTTTAGCGCCAATTCTTCACTGCTCGTCTTTAGTAAATCCTGACAGTACTATTTTAACGCCAAAAGACAGTTTGCGCTGGCGCAAGCTGTTAGTAAATCTGGCCCAAAATGTCTTTACTGTCAGGTTTGATCAATGTAATGTGTCCTTGCTGAATAAAATTATAAATATTACAGTATTGAATATTAATTTTAAAAAACTGACCTCATACTTTTGAACAGAGTGTACGTACATTTTGTTTAAAATGTCAGTTGTCATGCATGTTTTACTTAAATTTCAGATAGAGATTAAGAGTATCCTATATTTTCCCAGAATAGGAACAGAGCAGTATGCATTTACTGTATGCTACAAAACTCAATACACAGACTCCATATATTGATATCTTGACAAAAAGCCATTTTTGGCCCCGCCTGTTTACATTTACTTGAGACAAAATTGACTATTTACATTAAAACCATGCCAAGATGACCAAATAAAAAATGTATTGTATGGTTGCAATTGATGTCCCAAGTCAGACAAGAACACTAAAGCCTGTATGCATAGTCAAGCGTATCATGCTGGAAATGACAGGTATTAAGTGTGTTTTTTTTTTCTGTTGCTTATTAAACTCCATTGTCTTCCAGGGCTTGTTCAATGTGTGCAGCCTGTTGTCATTTCCACTGTAGAGACCTTTCATCCCAGCTGTACCCACTCAGACATAAATCTTTTTCTTGTAAGAGAATATTAATCTGGTGTCTCTGGCTTTCTGTGCTCACGTCGTCTGTTCCTTTTCTTTTTGTGTCTTTGTTTCCCTGCTGCTTTTTGTCGTCTTGTCAGATCACCAACCGCTACGTCTACGACACGGTGCTGCTGCTGGCCAACACTTTCCACAGGAAGCTGGAGGACAGGAAATGGCACAGCATGGCGAGTCTTTCGTGCATCCGCAAGGGCTCCAAACCCTGGCAGGGTGGCAAGTCTATGCTGGATACCGTGAAGAAGGTACAGTACTGTACAGGACTTTACGATAAACATGACCTGCTGGCCAGGATCAAGCTACTTGACAGAAATGTGCCTTGCAAACTTAAACTTTTGGTTTTCTGTAAAGTATTGAATATTGATGTTGTAAAATCTACTGATTTAAACTTATTACCAAGGTAGAGTTATTCAGACATACAGGTAGATTGTGAAATTGAGTAGTCATAGTCTTGAAAGCATTTTTGGTAACACTTACATAAAGCCTTTATGTATAATGCATTATAAAGGGTTATTAAAGGGTATAATGCATTGTAATTATTCACAATGTGCATTGTAATACATTATATCTTGTAAATAATTATAACTGAATTTAAAATACATTTAAATTGATAAGATATGGTTACAATTATTAATGAGATTAACGCAAACAAACTGGTCCGAGCTCAGAACAGATTTACTCAGGAACTAAAGTTGATTTTGGGACGCTGTTACTGCACAGCGCTGCGAGATTCAGCGAGAAGCGTTTGAATTCTGCACAGAAATCTCTGTTATAAACAGATCAAATGGCGCGGACATAGAAAACCAGAAGCTTTAACGCTAACTGTAACCATGGTGTTGCAGAAATAGTCAAATGTTATTACATTATTCATTTCAGGGTTTGTACTACCTTTTGAGAGAGAAATTCAAGCAATTTTCAATGACTTACAAGCATTTCACACAACTGTTTCCAGCACTTTAAAGCTCCTAAATTATCCAATTTGAATGTTATAAATATACTGCAGTGAACAAACACTTATGTAAAATTAAAAAATACAACAAATCACCATTTTAACCTTTAGATGGCAGCAGAGGAGCACTTATTGCTTTATTACTCATTAATTTATACTTTTTCCTTTATATTTTGAAATGATAAAATAACAATTTTAAAATCATTATTATACAATATCAAATCATCAAGAAATCAGATTTTGTCAGAGTTTCGCTCTTTTTTGTGTATGAAGTAAAAAACGTCACAAAGTGCTTTGAAAAACAAACTTTTCTTCAGTTTGCGACTAAATCACATATAATCACTTGTTGGTCAAGTTGTTGGTCAGTTTCATATAAGACTATAGGAGAGTAATGGTACATTTAATAAGAGTACAATATATATATTTTCTACATAAAAATTAGATTTTGCACATGTTACTGTTGTTAATAAAATATATTTTGTAAGCTTCCCAACTCAAGCTTAGTGCTTTACTGTCAGTTGTGTATAAACATGAAATAAACAAGAAATGAACAATAATAATATTATTAGTAACTGCACTTATTAATGCAAAACCATAGTAATTTTAATATATGAAGAGTTTGGTTCCAAAACGCTATAAATCCATTTTGATTCATTTGAGTAAAAATGTGTTTTCTTTACCGAGAAAGTGGCAAGAAGAAAACCACTATTTTCTGTTTCAAACTTTCACATAGCATCTTTTAATCAAAGTGCCGCCTTTACTGTCTAGAGTGCGTGGAATGGTGCGCTGTGATTGGTTGAGCGGATATATCGCATTCTGCAGAGAAGAGAGACTGGCGTTTGTTGCAGTTTGGAAAAACTCTGCGGATATCGCATTTTACGTAAAATTTTTAATTTACTTTTCAATACCGACCAGATACAATACTGATTTTTATACCATAATACCATATTTGTCATATCTCTCTGAAATTAAAAGAATACTGCACATTGTAATCTCTATGAGTTAAGTCTATTTATACATCAGGAAAAAAAATATATTATCAGGAAAAAAAAAATAATTGATGGTTATTTATCAATTAATTTATTTATTGCAATATTTTTGGATGTATTCAAATTTAAAACATTATTTTTGAGTTTTATTTTTATAAAAAACATGAAAACATTTCCTTAAAGGATTAAAATGTAAAAATCAGCCACCATCCAAGTGGAAAACAGCCGGTTTGGTGAATTGGATCAATTAATTATTTTGATATGAATCACAATAATGATTCATTCATGAATCAGACATCACTACTTGCAGCCAGATCTAGGGCACATGCCAAGATTTTTAGTGAATGAAGACTTCAATTTTGGTCTGTTTGTCACACACAATTATCGTATTGGCTTGAGAAGACTAGAAATATAGCCTAGTGCACAAGTAATATGTACTACTTTTATACAGTTTTTTCCCTCCATTTTTATAGCTTTTGAGCACCAGTCTCAATCACTTTCACTATATGTAAAAAGTTCTATAGAAGAAAGAAAGTAATACAGGTTTGGAATGACGTGAATAACGAATGTTCATTTTTGGGTGAACTATCCATAGCATTTAATGGCATGGCATTCAGGCACATAAATACATTGTTAAAACTATAAAGGCCTGTGAAAATGTTGGCAGTATGAAGCAAAACGTGACCAACAGAAAAGTTCCTAACACTGAGCCCTGCTGTGATTAAAGAGATGTGTTTGAGTGGAAGTTTGACCTTGGATGCATTTGCATTGGAAACCGAATGACTGTTTGGTTTTGAGGACCGTAATGAGTCTCTATCTGGGTGCCGGTTGGGGAGAGGGGGGATGTTGTGGTACAGTGAAACTCTCCTCCCTTCTGTCTGCCTGGTGTACAGCAGGGCCACAGAAATGGCTCACTGCCTGGGGTGAGATGACAGTCGATGTTACAGGGCTAGTGACTGAGTGCTGGTTTAACACCGTACTTGGTGGGGAACGGCTTTACCCCCTAAGGGATGTACTGTTCCTCCTGTATCCACATGTATCTGATCCTCCCTGCCATCCCACAGTAGAGATATCACCTCTCGGCTGGCTCTCACGTGTGTGACAGTGGTATTAAAGCAGATAGGGCGATTTATTCAGACACTGGGTGACCGCAAGAACACACTGGCTCGTACCACCTTGGAATCTGCCTAGATTTTAACAACCTCGTTTCGAAGGGATGTCTGGGAGCACAGGCATGCAATATATAAATATATTGAAATGGCACAGAGTGTAACATACTTATTTTACTGTACATCAGCTGCATAATGGCCTTGTATTCAATTCCCACAGGACTGTTTGGACTGGAACATTGCTTTACAGCTTAATTAGGGGACGTTTGTGTGTATCGGCTTTATAAAGCAGCAGTTGGTGAACTCGTTTGGAAAGCGCTCATCAGCTTTTATAATTGGCTGTCTAATTCGTTCTGTCAGCACTGGTATTGGTAGAGTGAATTTACAACAATTATATCTCTGTTCATGTGGGTTGTCGCTGGGCAGGGCATGTTTTGGATGCGGTTTAGGACTGGGGATTTTTGTAGGTTGAAATGATGCTGTGGAGTTATTTTGGAGTTCAAATTAAGGGTGCTGACAAAAAAATGGGAGGACAAGAGCGAGGCCTTTTTGCTCATAGAGACAGTAGAGAGAGGAGGAAAAAATGGTAGGGACAAGAGGGGCATAATCAGCAAATTTCACAAGTTGGACTCAAAACACTCATCAGCTACATGAGCTCTATACTGTAATATGTTGGAACATGTGCACAAACCACTGTGCCACGCTCTGATTTAAGGCATTAAAGAGATTTTCTTCCCGCTTTATGACATAAAATTTGCACCCCAAGGGGTCGAGGTTATTAAATATAAACTATTTATTTATTTTAATTTTGTGATGTAAAATATTTCTAATGGCAAAGCTGAATTTTTAGCCCTCAGAAATCATTCTATTTTGCTTATATGCTGATTTGATCTTAAAAAAGCATTTCTTATAATTATTAATGTTGAAAACAGTTATGCTGCTTTTTTGTATAAATCGAGAAACGAGATTTTCAGGATTCCTTGATAACTAGAAAGTTAAAAAACATAATTAATTTGAAACAGAAATCTTTTGTCACATTGTAAATACCTTTATTGTGACTTTTAAAGGGGTCATATGATGCTTTTTTAAAGATCATAACTTCAGGGATCTTATCTATTTACAATCAGCTTGTAACACTCCAAAGAGAACGGAAAACTTGAAATCGCATCATATGACCCCGTTAATCAATGTAATGCATCCTTTCTGAATAAATATATATATATAAAAAAAAAACTTCTTGACCCCATACTTTTGAATGATAGTGTATGTTTATTATTATTATTATTATTATTATTATTATTATTACATTGTAAATGCCTTTATTGTCACTTTTAATCAATTTAATGAATCCTTTCTGAATAAAAGTATATAAAAAAACTTCCTGACCCCATACTTTTCAATGATAGTGTATATTATTATTATTATTATTATTATTATTATTGGATACTTAAAGAATAGCACACAGAGCATAAATGATACATTAAAAGACCTCCCTGGTGGCACCATTCTGTCCATTTTGTTTGACTGGTCTGACTGGGTTGACACAACAGCATTGACTCAACCAATGGTGTGGCTTACGGGCGGGACTTTCTAGCTGATGACAGCAGTGTGTTAAAGCCCTATTTTGCAGTTCTCTGCGGTGCCACTAGTGGGGTGATAATTACACACATATATAATGTGTAAGTGGTTAATGAGACATTTTTATCCACATGGTTTTCATTAGATGGCAGCCATGTCAAACACATGTCAAACTTAATCATTTGATTTATACATCACTTTGTTTTTGTTTTTTTGCAGGGAGGTGTAAGTGGTCTGACCAGATTGCTGGAGTTTAATGATAACGGCACTAACCCCAACATCTACTTTGAGATCCTGGGCACCAACTATGGAGAGGACCGCGGCCGTGGAGTCAGCCGGGTAATAAACATCCCACTCAAACCCACAATATCAGTTTCGACGTTTCAGAAACACAATTGTCTTAATTCAAAGAGCTTTTGGATTTTAATTGATAATCACAGAAGCCTAATGAATTCCATCAGCCTCCCTCAGAGAGCGCAGTGCATCAGCACGAATTGTTTATCAGTTTTTCTGTTGTTTGCTCGTCTGTTCATCTCAGCTTTGGTGAAGTGAGGAGGTAGTTAAGCAGCAGTAACATAAGAGTCGTCCCCCAGTGATCCGCAAGATAATTAATCTGTTCTTTCCATTTGTTTGTCGTTAATTACTTTAGTCATATTTATGTGTATTTGCTCATTCAAATATTGGTCCTAATCTGTCTCTGTCTTCCCCCACGGAATGTGGATCAATTGCTCATGACAGAACGGCAGCTTTGGAGCTGAATAATGTGCGGATCAGGCTATGCTCCCTGATGGGGATACCCCAATCTCCACCCGTCTGGAGAAATAAGTTGGACTTGTTTATTTAACTGAAATAAATTAAATAACTGATTTGCGTCAGTTGCTGATCAGGAAGTCATTTATACGTTCCTTGTGGTTACACAAAAGCACTCTGTCGCACTTTTTATCATTTAGGTTGCAAATATCTGAGATTTCACTTTGATTTCTACAATTTTGAAACAGTCAATGAAAAGGTTATTTATTATGCAGTAGTTAAAAACACAAATTAAATTGAAAGCCACTTTCTGGTACACTAGTTTTACAGCACAGTTTATCAGAGCAGAAAGCAAATGAACCTACCGTAGCTAGTGGAGTTGGTGTAAACAGGGTCCGAAATGAACAATCCCCAAATGGCTTTGGTGAGTAAATATAATTGTTATTTGCATGCTAATCAGTCACTTCATGAACTGCAACATTATTTATTTATTCTTTTTTAAAGGCATAGTTCACCCAATCATAAGAACAGCTGTATAAACTCTCATTCTGACAGCACCCATTCACTGCAGAGGATACACTGGTGAGCAAGTTATGTAATTCTAGATTTCTCCAAATCTGTTCAGATGAAGAAACAAACCCACCTTCATCTTGGATGGCCTGAGGGTAAAAGCTTTTAGTAAATTTTCATTTTTGGGTAAACTATTTCTATAAAAATCTGACCCATACTAGTGTAAGCAATGTGATCTGATATGAGATGTTAATCAGATGGTCAGTGATTGTCCTTGAGGACTCCGGTGTGCCAAAGTCCACAGACAACCATCAGATAACAGGCTAGAGTCCTTTAATAACGCCACTTCCTCTCATCCACTGGAACTCACTGCAACCTCACTGCCATCATGCACAAATTAAATTGTCAGATTTCATTAAAGATAATAGTCTCTGACACAAACAAGATCAGTGCTGCACTTCCAAAAGATGAAATGAATATTTTAAGTATAAAGTAATTACATTAAGCAAGTTTCTTTAATCAGAGTGGATAATTGCGGACGGCTTGTTATAATGGCTTCTGCTCACTACTGTTGGGAAAGCGCATGAAGAAATGTTTAGTTTGAGTTTGCAGTAAAGAGGCCACCTGTGTTCCGTACAGTTCCTTACCCTTGTTTTGATTTTATTAATGATTATATTGAGCTTGAAGCTTGAATGATAACGCCATTTTAAGCCATACATATACTGTATATATTAAATGGCAGTTGTTAATTTAAATATTTTGGATAAAGACTTTTAGATGTTCATAAAATATATAAAATTCTAAAATAAGTTAAAGGGATAAATTTACCCCAAAATTGAAAATTTCCTTTATTAATTACTCACCATGTCGTTCCAAACCCGGAAGACCTTTGTTCAACTTCGGAATACAAATTAAGATATTTTTGATGAAATCAGAGAGTTTTCTGACCCTGCATAGACAGCAATGCAACTACCATGTTCAAGGCTCAGAAAGGTAGTAAGGACATTGTTAAAATAGTCCTTGTGACATCAGTGGTTCAACTGTAATTTTCCATGTCAGTCTTCACCACGTGTTCATGAGAGTATCACGACACATGTGTGTGATGCTGTTGACGCAGGAGCTGGCGTTCTGACATAGAACACATGGACTATTTTAATGATGTCCTTATACCTTTCTGGGCCTTTAATGTGGTAGATGAGTTGCTGTCTATGCAGGGTCAGAAAGCTTTTGAATTTCATCAAAAATATCTTAATTTGTGTTCAGAAGATGAACAAAGGTCTTATGGGTTTGGAACGACATGAAAGTGAGTAAATAATGACAGAATTTTCATTTAAACATTGGCCAATGATGATTCTCAAAGAAACTGGACTTGGTTTGTTAGCAACAACAACTTTCACGTGCATCTGGTAACAGATAAATGGCAGATAAACTGTGTGCTATTTCAGTGTTGTTATGTGCTTATAAGAGAAGAAACTGTTAAATAAAGTCTTTATTTTTGTTTTCTTTGTGCACAAAAAGTATTCTCATAAAATTACGGTTGAACCACTGATGTCACATGGACTATTTTAACCATGTCCTCACTACCTTTCTGGGCCTTGAACATGTCAGTTGTGTTGCTGTCTATGGAGGGTTAGAAAGCTTTTGAATTTCATCAAAAATATCTTAATTTGTGTTCAGAAGATGAACAAAGGTCTTATGGGTTTGGAACGACATGAAAGTGAGTAAATAATGACAGAATTTTCATTTAAACTATCCCTTTAAGATGGCCCTTGAGGTTTCCTTGAAGCAAAATCACGTTTTTTATATATAAAATGTATCTTTGAGTTAAGGTTATTTTTCTTACCCTGTTAGTTATAATTTTTTAACTATAAATCAAATGAAACGTAATGAAGTTTATGATTAAGCAAGAAACTTGGCCACTCAATTTTAAGTAAATTTATTTTGTTTTAATGAAGTTTAAATATTTCATGTACTAATTAAGAACTGATTTGTGCTATTTCAGCCCCTCTTTATAAAGTATCTTGTTTGTTTATTTCTCGGTGAACAATCTATATTTACACTGGCTTGATAATTTGCAAACAAATAGTATAGATAATCAGAATGGCAGTTTTTCACAAGTGCTGTGCATATGTTGAAGCCACTTGTGTTTTAAACATCTCTCCAATTAACTGCTGTGTTTCCAGACATACGCAATGTGTTTCCACACTTGTTGACGTTGACCAGAAAACAAAACCTGTTTAATGTGACCCCCTGCTAACACATTAGCAGTAGTTATCTCAGCTTCCTCCTGTGAGGGGGATGTTTTCCAGCCTGCTGAATAACTCTGCAAACACTCTTGAGAGTCTTACTGAAAGAATATTTGTAGTTTTTCACTCCACATTTTAACAGTGTCACAACAGATTGCACAAACCCTTGGTCCCTTTTCATATGGTCAATTGTCCAGAACATTATCAGCCCCTTCTGAACAGGCTTTTTAATGGCTTTTGTTCCTAACATAGACTAGTTGGTGGGGTAATTGGTGTGAAGGTGACTCCAGGGTAATGAGTGATGGCCATATTTCAGCATCCTGCTTTACATCCTTCCACTGACCACCATCTCCAGCTCAGAGATTCAAATGGTGGCTGGTAGTTTTGATTTGATAAAAATTATATTATATACACTGCAATTTGAGTGAAAAGTTGAAAAAGAAAATGCTATAAGGTTTTAACATCTATGTTTTGCATTCCACAAAATCCTAAAATTTTGTTTATTTCCAGCTGTAATTTAGATTTTGAATCACTTTTTTGGGGCCCCCTGTGTATACACCACTACGGAGATATGTAGATATGTACTTTGTCCATATTTCCATTATAATGGTTCAAAGCAATCAGTCATAATTAGTTTTACCACCATGCAAGAATTAGTTTTCCACATCATTAAATCCATTGGCTACATTCGGCTCACCTCTCTATATATCAAAACATCTAAAAGCTTTACTGTGGCGTAATTGCTCGATTAGCCATTTTGGCTAATCATCCCTGCTGGGATACAAAATATTCTTTTGTTTTTGCCTTCATTGAAAATGTATTAGAGCACAGGTTGAGCAATCAGTGGGGATTATGTGATGGAGTTTGCGCTAATGTGAAAGTCCACTGAGCCGAAAGAGGTGGGAATATGTGCAGAGAAAAAGAAGAGGCTAGGTAGACGCCACTGGGAATAGAGAGGTAGGAAAGTCTATTACTAGCCAGCTTAACGTCCCTTCAGCATCAGCTACTCATTAACTATGCATGACCATCAGCAAGCACCAAGGTAGTTAAAACTTACATATAGAGTTTCTAACATCTGCTACATCATTAGCTTTGAAGCATATATTACAGATGAAAAGTTTGGGGTTGGTAAGATTTTCGTTATTTGAAAGAAGTCCTTCCATTATAATGGTTCAAAGCAATCAGTCATAATTAGTTTTACCACCATGCAAGAATTAGTTTTCCACATCATTAAATCCATTGGCTACATTCGGCTCACCTCTCTATATATCAAAACACCTAAAAGCTTTACTGTGGCGTAATTGCTCGATTAGCCATTTTGGCTAATCATCCCTGCTGGGATACAAAATATTCTTTTGTTTTTGCCTTCATTGAAAATGTATTAGAGCACAGGTTGAGCAATCAGTGGGGATTATGTGATGGAGTTTGCGCTAATGTGAAAGTCCACTGAGCCGAAAGAGGTGGGAATATGTGCAGAGAAAAAGAAGAGGCTAGGTAGATGCCACTGGGAATAGAGAGGTAGGAAAGTCTATTACTAGCCAGCTTAACATCCCTTCAGCATCAGCTACTCATTAACTATGCTCACAGCACCAAAAATAGTTAAAGGAACCGCTCACCCAATAAACAGGAGTTTACTCACCTGAATTTATAATTTACGTGTCATTTATGCGTCACTCAAATCAGTGGATTTTATCTTAACAAAAATGAAGAAAAATGTGTTATCCCAAATCAATAAAGGCTGCAGTGACCAAAGATGTTAATGATGTACACTACCAATCAAACGTTTGGCATCATTAGGATTTTTTTTTATGTTTCTGAAAAAGTCTCTTCTGT